AACTAAGTTAGACACCGAAGTTTTCACCAACGTCCCCTTTTGCCGAAATCGACATAATAGTGGCGTGGGCCGGCTTGGCGGTGATCTGGATGAAATCTATGCATCTGGTGCATTCCAGGTGCTAATGAGTTTGTGTCCTACGATATTATCCTAGAGCCTCACTCAAGTCTATGATGAATGTTCAAAAAATTCACAGGAGACTTTGAGATCGCAAATTCACTGGGCTTTTAGGAAGTGGTGCTTTCTAGATCCCGACGAAGGCGGAAACCAGAATGCCGATCAACTGAGCTAATTCTACCACTTCCAGAATGGCTCGCAGGAGCTTCGAGAATAAATGCTCCTTGACAGGATTTTATGAAGTGGTGCTCATATCGATACTTCGATTAATGAAGAGCCATTTGAAATGAGATGTAGATCACCTTCAGCTTCTTTGAATGCTAATCGCGAATCTTGCGCTTCCAAATTTCCTAAATGATTCTCTTGATAAAACCAGAGAAGTATGATACGGAGCAGACCTCAGTCAGGCACGAATATGGGACCCACAGCCTGCGTGGATGTGGACCGATAGCCTAGAGGTTACTATGGCGATCTCATGACTAAACAGTTCAAGGAATCCTTCCCGGGAAAACCTTGCATTCTTTCCAACATGCATATGTCAGTTGTGATCACTAGAGACAACATACAAAGTTTCACGCAAGATTCAGTTTCCGAAGAGAAACAAACTTACAAAAACACACTATGGACAATCGAAGGTAAGGGCGCGGAGCCAAAGGCGGGGCATGGAAAGAAGTCCGCCTTGGGGCGGCTACGTATCAGGCGACGCAATGAAAGAATCGGGTTAAAGCGCGCGATTTTGGAGAGTAGAGACAAATCGATCGATAGAATAGGATGCAGTAGAAGTGTGAGATGTGAATGCAATAAGTCAAAAGGCCAGAAAGAGTTTCTAGTGACGGCACTCCAGAACCAAGTGGAAGCATTTGTGACAGATGTCCGGCGGTACTTTGAACGCGTAGCAGCCCTTTCGGTTTTTCGAATTTTTTACCAAAACAAATGCATTTTTTTGTTCTTTTCGTTCTTATCGTGAACGATGGTCCCAAGCCAGTGAATTATGGGTGAGATAGAATCACGATTTTTCCGAAAAGGATCCCTTTAAGGGGTTGGACTCTTGTGTTTCAGTGTTTTTGCATTTTCCGAACAATATGCTCAATACGGTTGCAATCCATTTTGTTGAAGGCTAGGACTGCAGTTGAATCGGTGTGTTATTCTTTCCGAAAATTGGAAAGGTGCGTAGAAGAAACTAGTTAAAAAAACAAGCGGAAAAATTTTTAAATTGATATTTCTCACACCTAGCGGATAATTCCTGGTTCCGAATCTTCCTCAACAGTGTGTTACCCATGTAGCAGTGATGTTTTTGATTTTTCCATCTTTTCAGATCCACCAACTTCGAAGTGCTGACACGTATTTAAAGGCAGTGATTACGATAGATTCAAGAAGGGTTTATAGGAGACTGGTGGTGCTCAATGGTACGCCAGTGCGAAAAAAGCGGAGAAATCCGTCAAGAAAACGCAAAACGGGACCCCCTTTTTTGGCCGTTGGTTTTCACTCATGAACAGGTAACAGCTCAGAAAGCGGAGTGACAGCATGCCAAACCATGCTCAATCGAGTTGCTCCAGTTGTGCCGCTGCTGGCAACGCAGCTCGTCCAAATCACCAACTAAACTAGTGGGCGGATCGCTTTTGGGGGCGGAGTGCTTTCGAAGTCCTGCTCAGCAACCAGCGCACCTTTCGTCGTGAAAGCGCTACACCTCGCTTCCCTGGCAGCCAAGTAACTGATTCGTGTGGTGCATATGCTTCCCCGATGCGCTCCCACTTTATCGTAATCGCTGCCTTTAAGGTGATTTATGTCTCATTTCAAATGGCTCTAAAACAAAAAACATACCGATTACTCTGTCACAGGCTCAGTTCAAGCATCGTATAGCACCATACTACTGAGGAATCAAGAGTCATAGTTTTGTGAGACTGATCCCAAAGTTAACTATTTTGTATGGAATTTTTTCTTATAAGCACACTGTTCTTTGTATGCATAGAGATGCTCATTTTTTTTGCCTTCTTGCAGACGTGATAAACTTATACTTATATATTTATTGTTAAATTTTAATTATGGGGTAATAAGAGCTGCGCCTCCGATCTTGACGTTTTCCAGCAAGAAGTGCTCCTCCAAGTCCTAGTCCGCCAACGACGATGTGATGAGAATTCTCACGTCTAGCCATACCGCTCATCGCTGCTGACGATGTACTGTAGATGTCCCTGGAATCGACAACATTGTAATTTTGGACATTGCGCTCATCAAGGTAAAAGCAGGGCAATTATCACCGAACACGCGTCGCATCTACAGCCTCCAATGGCCGATGCATAAGACGCCATTTGTCTGAAGTAAGGAGGGCGAGAGGCGCTAACCAAAGGCTCCTTGGTCATTATGCGAAAAAGAATTGGAGCAGCCTCAATTCCGAAGGAAATTTCTCAATGTAACCTCTGTATTAAAATTATGGTGAAGAACCTATCCCTCAATTGAGGAAGATCACCTAAAGGCAAGCGCCGGGATTTCTGGTCGAAATTAGGCTCTTCCCGCGAGAAAGTGCAGCGGTACGCAAGCGGAAAACACGTACACAACTTTCGGGATGATTTGACAAGGCCGAGGCGCTAAGGCCCTAGGATGCAGCATTGGCCCCGCCCAACACCATTGAGCCCGCCCACAAATCAATATCATTTCGCTTCACTGCTACTGAGTAGGTTTTTATAGGTGAGTGAGTTTATTTTCGGCCTTTTCAACGGCTCCCTCCGGTTCTTCCTTTATTAGTAATACACTTCACATCTCCACTGTCATTTGCAAGCGCAATAATACATCAATTTGATCCCGAACATTGTCTTTAACTACCCCTTCAAGCGAAATGGCCACCGGAGGATTTATAAGTGCCGCTCGTGTTGCTTGGTGATCGAGGGGTTGTGTGAGACAGGTATCGTTGGAAGTTTTGATATAAAAGTAGATTGCTCTATGGTTGGGTGCTTCCATGAAACAATAGCGAAAATGGGCGGCTATGGTCAAGCAGTGTTCCAAATTGGGTACTAGACCATCTAAACAATCGTTTAAGTCCACCTAAATTAGGTTATGGTAAACGAGCATAAAGCACTGCAAGATTAGCTCGAGAACCCATCGAATTACCGTAACCAGAACACTTTCTATCAAGAAACTTTTCCCACCTGTTCATCATCAATCCACAGACTTCTTCGGCCTGTGCGAACTGCTTCACTGATGGCGACGACCATCCCCCGAACGAACGGAAGTCGTTGAAGTTTGCCGGAGACTCGTTCGACACACCGCCGCCGTTGGTGTTCCAATACCTACAACAAAGGACAGTTGCCAGAGCTAAGAAGTGTTCATTCCAAAATTCGTGATATGAAGCTACCAGTGAATGGAAAACCGAAGGGTATCAATGGGCCTCACAGAAATGGAAGGCTTATCAGCAAGGAAGATTTTTCAATCTGTATAAGTGCGATACTGCACCTCCGTGTGTTGACACTGTCTAAAGGTTTGGAAGCCTAGCTAAAAGTTCTGGAAGCCTAGCCTGATTCCTTGTCGTTTACTTTCCGATGACGAACAATATGCCAGACCCTGCAGGTGTCTATCCCCCCACACCCTTTCTCAGATCTGCCTTCAGACCAGACTTGAGAAGATGAGGTCTAGAACCATTACCTCCACCTTATGTAAATCATACCCGCCTTGAAATTACAAAAGTCTCGAGCTCAACTCGAATAAATGGCGCATTCTCAAAGAGATTCAAAAGCTTCAATGATTTCATGTTGTCATTATACTTGAATGTATTTCCATGAATTTTGGTAATTTTCTTTTTCCTTTTTTTCTTTCTGTGCTTTCAAAAATGGAAATATTTGTCGCTGGACTCAATTGTAGCTGAGCATATCAAGCGCGATAAACCGCAAATGTATGGATTGCGCGCCGTGACCTAACGACACACACCTGACCGATAGTTCTCTAGTTGTCCAATTAATTTGGCCAGAATCTTTTCAGGGCCGATGACAGGTGATTCGGAGATGTCACTACTTCGCCGATTTGTTGGTGTCTGCAGTCGCGTCACGTACAGCGAATGGCTCTATTCACTGTATGCGACGCGACCGCGGACGCTAGCAAATCGCTCGATTCGCAAAGTCTGACATCGGGCTAAGGAAACCTACCATAGCATGGCGTTGTTGATGGTGGCCGAGCCGGTAATTGATGGTTCCATCGTGTGATAGGTAGTGGTTAGATACCAAATTCGTCAGATCATATTGCTGAAATAAATTATTAACATCGCTGCACTGCCACAGAAGCCGAAACACAACCACTTACATTTGCTCGTTGGAGAATGCTGTTGAGGAAGTTAACGTTGAGTGAGCTGGTCATATACCAGTTAGTGGGTGACGTTACTCGCGAAATCGTAGGATTCTTCTTATAATTATCTTTTCGACTCCTGTGGAAATTTCGCGTTCCTATCCGGACCGCTTTTTGTTTCGCCGCTCTCTATAACCACTTTCACTAACTAGCGCAACCAAATAACCACTTATTTAGCGCTACATTACTTCTGCTCAACCTACGGCCCTGCTGCTGAATCAGCTGATCCATAGGCACAACGGTTGCCATGTTTCTGATTAAGTATTTCTCGGTACTGCGTGAGTGCTGTTCCCTACTCTTCTTCAGATTTGGCGCGTGACACTATTGGAAGACTTTCTACATCGATATGGGAAGAAGCGGCAACGTTAACACGTTGACGACAGCGCAGGACACATACGTCCCGCACTTTGCAGGCCATGACGGACAGCGCGGGACGTATGTGTCCTGCACCCATTACGTTCCTTTTTTCAGCGCACGCGTGATTCTTTTCTAAGTTTATTGTGTTTACTCCATGGAAGAAACCCTAGCTTGGCTACAAACATAGGAGCTCGCGAAATGGTCACGTATATTTTAATTTAGGAGGAGGATTTTCCAACCGCACAAAATTCTAAGTCTGATTAATCTTTCGTTCTCATTTCTCTTCATGACTGTAAAGGTTAAAAGACTAGTAGAAGTAAATAAGTGTCCTAAGATATGATAACATATGTGTTTTTGTTAAAATGATAAAAGTGAAATAGCTTTTGAAGTCAATTGTAGCTAATTCTGACAATTTTTGCATTTTCATTCTTATTTCAAGTCTTTGTATCGAAATTCCATTACTATACTCCTTGCAAGCTTTTACTTACTTGAAGTCACTGTTTCGATTTTGCATCACCCATGTTTTATGTATTTAGCACTCAAAATCCGCTTGAATTACCTGAGGCGTCCGCGCTCGCAAAATCGCCCCGGTCCCACGCGGCCAAAAAAGCCAAAACGCGCGTTGTCGTCAACGTGTTAAATTTTCTTAGTACATCCGAACGCATTCCCCCTCTTTGGCCCGCCTGCCGGGTGATTTAGCGGATGCTGATGTCCCAATTCCTGTTACACGCTCACCTGTATCCAGATGGATCGAACATTAATATTCGAATTGGCCAAATTGCTGAACATCTCATCAAATTGCTGAGCGCCAGGTTTTGGCTGAGTTAGGTTGAGGAGTCATGTAGGCTTCAGCGCCAAGTCCAGCTGCAAAATAAGTATTACTGGAGTCTTATGGCGTGCGGGAGAAGTGAATTGACTAAACAACTGAGAGAGTGAGCTGCCTCTTTGATTTAGGGGGGGGGGGGCAACGTCGGCCCTCTCACCTTCTGAAATTTAACGCTTACCAGCATTAGCGAACTGAATGTTGGTGACGGCGTAATCATCGATTTGTCCTTGACCGACTGGAGTGTAAGCCCTGCAAGATGTGGGTTTACATATGACAGATGACTCGATAGAAGATGAAGACCAAGCGTTGCGTTTGAGGAATCCTCGACACGTCACAGGGGGGGGGGGGGAGTCGTATTGGCCCACTGGGAGGAAGAGATCGGGCCGGATTGATGCAGTAGGATCATCACTGTCGGAGGACAAACATCAAGGATCGAATCGATGCCATGGAAGGCCAGAGGATTTCCAATAATAGTGTTATTCCGCCCACATAAAATCTTCGTGATTCAGAGGTGTCCGCGTAGCAGTTTTTGAGTTACTTCAGTGTTTTATCACGACACAAGTTGAAGAATATTGAAATTCGCAGTTACTCCGTTCAATAAATTGGGTTTATAATTCATGTTGATCGAGTCCTAGAATCTTGGAAAGGATGTGAAGCACACGGCGCATCCAGAGTGCGCCCAGTTAACTACGGCTCTCTGGAGAAAGAATCTCAATTCAGGAAAAATCAAGAGGATTCTGAAAGGGTTCATGTGAAATTACAGGGAGGAGTACACTATTCAACAAGAAATGCAGCCTTCAGCGTCAAATTCACAAGCATGTAATCGTTAAAGTTGAGACCGCTAAACAATTTTACACTTTTTGGAAAGAGAAAAGCACGAGGATTCCGAATCTGCTCCTACTTTAGTATGTATAATCGCCCCTGAAAGGAGCTATAGTCGTTGAAATAGTGCCAATGCAGCGAAAAAGTACCTTTCGGCGGTACTCGGGCAAAAATCCTCAACGTGGCCATTTTTTAAATAGTGGACGTATTTAGCAGTTTAGTAACCGTTAATAGAGCAAATCTTCTAGTTTATGATGACGTATTAACTTTTCAGATTTGACGAAAATGAAGCAAGTTATGGCTTCGGAAAGTGTAAAAACTCGTGCTCATCATGAATTTTCCTCGTTAATTAATCTAAATTTGTTATTTCTTATAACTTTTGTAATTTCAATACTGATTAGAAAGAGCTCTTCACAAAACTCCCAAATCTGCTTTCAGATTGAAAATTCGTCATATTTGAAGAAAGTTATAATCATTTGAATATTTGTTCAAATTTCAATAGTAGAATAAGCTGCTCCACGGTCAACGCCAAAGCCCAATACGGTGAGTGAGCCAATCGCGAAAATGGGACTAAGCCTTAGGGAGGACAAGGGATTCTGGGGCAGTTTGAACAATCTTTGTCTCCCTGGTGCCTCCCCGTCTCAAACAAATTTTTCATGAAATCATGGGAATGCCTGCGTAGAGAAATTATGAGTAGAAAGTGGCAAGGAGTCGTTCAAACGGCCTCCTTATAAGAGGCTTTATGGTCAAAAAACTCTTCTAGCTGTTGATGATTAAGCTGGGCTTAAGCTTGTTGGCTGAGATTGGTCTAGTGCCCCTGAAAGTGATGAGGTTAAATGCTCGGATATTTCTTCGTCGTCAGGACTGAATATCTTACTTCCTGGTTCCCACCCCATGTTAATAAACTCCACATCGGCAACGATACCTTCAACGGATAACCGAGAAGTAACTCACTCAGTTGCAAAGTTCAAGTCGCAGTGCTTGCCTGAATCCACCAATCACGTGAATGGGCGTGGCGTGCTCGTCGTCTGGTGTCTTACCGCTTGAAGGAGACGCAGAGGAGCAAAAGGATTAGATGTCATTAGACCCCCAATCAACACACAGCTGGCTAAGGCGGTTACAAGGCTTCTTTCAACTGAAAGGGACGTGTAAATTGAGAACCATAATCTGTGTAGTACTAGAATTTGGTAAGTCTTGTGAAGGAAATAAATAAGAAGAGATGTTGTCATAGTATGCCATTTTTAGTGACTAGTTTGTCGTTTTTTGCTCCGTTTCTCGTTTGCTCGTTTGGTAGGACTCATCAATAATGATCATTCTTTGACTTTTTCACTTTTGTACTTCTTAAACGAATTTTTTGGTGGACGGTGGGGTAGCAGGGCTTTTTTATGAGCAGTTTTGGGGGAGAATTAAACAACCTTTTCATAGTTCGGCTTTTGAAGAGGGTCGTTTCATGGACTTCGGCCTCTGGGGGGAGGGAGGGGGGGTCGTATGCGAGCAGGGTCAACCGCTGTTGCGCAAAGAACAACGAGGGGGTTGCAATCGAGGAAACGAGCGGTGGGATGCATAGCGATCCTCAGATGCTGAGGAGAAGGAGAAGTGCAATATTAGTAGAAAGTCAAATGTGCGACAATGTATAAATATAATCTTTGCAAAGTACTAATAATAATCATAAAATATAAATAATAATATTATAATTGCAGTGAATACAGTGAAACAGAACGCATGAAACATACAACTACATTTGCTGACACTTCTCACCGTCCCAGGGAAGGAGGACTTTCAATCCACTAGGCGCTATCCGCGATTATGTTCACGCTTTTCCTACGCACTAGTTCTCAAAAAATTCTCTATCAGCGCGCAGTAGACAGATTTTACAAAAAACTTATGCTTTCAGACCAAATCTAGATGGAGGAACGTGCACCGAAATTGTTGGATTCACTATCAAATACTTATTAAAATTCTGTCAGCACGACTTTCAGGGAGGTCACGCATGTGTCATAAAGAACTATTCATTGGGCTTTTGCCACTTCTCATCATACAGTTTTGAAGAAAATTATGGGGGTTGAAGATTGTGAAAAGTCGCGTTCAGGAATTGCCAGAAAATAAAGAGGAAAAAGGACAGCTAGCGGGACATTTTTTCGTAAAGATATATCACTTAGAAAAATCTCAACATGTTCCAGTAAAGGTCAATCCTCTAGTACACTAATGACTTTGCAATCTGCAAAAAGTTGAAAATGAAGGAATTTATGAACGTTTGAATTACGAAATATCGCGCCTTCTCGAAAATGGGACCACAAACCCCTGAATGAAGGAACAACGGGACTGTTTCTGAAGAAAGTGCTCTTCGCGGAAAGATCCGGTACTTTTTCGAAGCGCTAGTCTTCTAGTTTCCAATTAGCTTTGAAATTTGCAAAACGTCAATAAGTATAGGCACTCTAAAGTTGATTGAAATGGCGCGTGTCAAAGAAAAATGGACCAAGTACGGTCTGATTTTTCAAGAATTGACATTTCTGTAAATTTTAATAAGCTTTAGAGGAAAATAATTTTGCTTTTTTAATCCCCACTGACATGAGACTGCTTTAAAGAAGATAAACATTTCAAATGGGAAGGTTTCGTATCTTAATTACACTCTGCATTATTAAGTTTATATGAAAAAAATTAGATTTGCTAGTTCGAAAAAAAAAATTGGTTTTCTGAAAGTAGAAATCTCTGCGATTACTATCATGCCTAGGTTTACGCAAAAATTTGGAAATTACCTTCTATTTAATGAGCAAAATTTCATGTTGCCTCGATTCCCGTCCTCTGAGAGACAAAGCGCGCGGACTTGCCACTGTCCACCACCTCTCCATGTCGGTGACGGCCCACACACCGATGATGGACCTAAATATGCAAAAAACACAATGGCTAATGCAGGGGGTCGTACAGATACCCTCCGAAAGGGAGGGGGTCGTAAAAACTTTGAAATCTGCGCAACGCACCGCTGACCTTGGCTGCGTGGTCTTTCGTGTAGCCCACATGGGGAGGGGGAGGGCTACTTGGTTGCCAAAGTGTTTTTGGCGAATTTTATGAACAGTTTTGTGTCGAAAAGCGCATTAAAAAGGAACAAGTCGTGCACTCAAATTTGCCGAAAGAGCTTTCAACTGATGAAATTGGTTCACATCTACGATTTTTAGTAGACGATACAAAAAGTACAAGAAATGTGAACCATTCTTTTGCTCGAGGGACTTTCACATACCGTTCACTCATGGGAGAGCCTGATGAAGTTTTACACATAATGTAATCAACTAACTATTAGCCACTTAGACAAAAAGCGATTCATTCTCTGTTCTTCATCAGGTTAGGAACAAGAACCTTCTTTTCCTAACCACGGCGACTGTTGTTTTTTTGCCTCTCTTTATCACTCAATGTTGAAAGCATATTGAACCATTC